TAGAAACAAAAAATATAAGAGACAGACGCATCGAACATTATGCGACCATGCATTTTGCAAGAGTTATTGTTATGTTTGCCATTCCCCCTACATTTGCTACACCTAATAGTACGGGGATCAATTCACCCCTACTTGGGATCCTCTTTTGCTTCGGCCTCCCGCGGCGAGTCTGATGTTCAGGTGGGTTTATCAGTGCAGTTACAACATCTGCCGTCGGCTGCACAAACGGGTATATGGTCGGTGAATAGCTTTGGATGAATGTAGATTTATGAAAATAGTGATCGGTGTGTTGGTATGCACCACCCAAATGGTGAAATATAATTGTGGCAGCGTGCACACATGGTATACCGTATATTTGCCACATCGATCGACTATATGCTACAATAACATAACAATGGGGGAGAAAACTCATGTGCATTCATATTAACATTATTTCGAAAAGTGCTAAACCCATGACAATTACGCACTAACATGCTTTGTGGAAAAGCACGAAAACCACTTTGTATTTTATTGAAACGATCTTACTGCATAATTAGACTCTATATTTTATTGACACGAAAATCACTCTGTATGTTGTTGAAAACCATGATATTTTGGTACGTAAATGCACAATTGTACATAAATGGGGAAATTCTGAAAATCACTCTGTATTTTATTGAAACCCACTATTATTTTGCTACGTAATTGCATTCATATTAGCATAATTTCGAACCCAGAAAAAAACCACGACTATTATGGGTATCGGCTATTATGTGTGAAAACCACTATGTATTTTGAAAAGGTTCGGTCGGCTATATGCTAACAACCACATAACTATGTCGGGGAAAAAGCAGTTGCATTCATATTAACATAATTTCGCACAAAATAAAAAACCATGAATATTATGGGTATCGGCTATTATTTGTGAACACCACTCTGTATTTTGAAAGGTTCGTTCGGCTATATGCTAACAACCACATAACAAGGGCCGGGAAAAAGAAGTTGCATTCATATTAACATAACTATTATGCATTTACAGAGTTGGGGTTGTCTAGGGTCCGAGAGAGTTTGTACTACTCGGACCTAAACGATTCAATCTGATGCGTATAAAATATTTAGGAAATTATTTTAACCGTTGATTTGAAGTATACGTACCTAGGAATTTATAAATTTAATTACGAGCGTAGCAAAAATAGATCTTACACATATCGTACTTCATTTAAATTACTCTTTTAGCCTCGTATAATTCTAAAGTAAACTATAACCGTTGAAGTTGAAACAAAAGAGAAGAAAATCACAATCTCTTGAAAGAATTTCTTAGAATCATTTCCCAAAAATCAACGCCAAGTATTCAATTTCTCCTCGGAATTCAATTACTTCTTAGTCGGATTAATACGACCGGGAAGAATGCTACTTCGAGTGAGCAATTAAGGAGATTTTTGCTGCTGTTTAATTCAGCCATTCGTAAGTTATGCTTGATGTTTATGAAGAGATTGGGCATTGCTTAGATGCTCTTGGATTATATTCCTCTCAGATGTCAGATTTTGACCTAGGATCTCATTAGGGGTTGAGAGGGTTGAGAAATGCTAGAAGAAATGCACAACTATGATTTTGTTCATTAAATATGGGCTGTATATATAGTGTTTATATATTAACTACTCTCATAATCATTTGAGAGACCTTAGAATTATCACTTTTACACCAAGTTATAGTTAAAGCTAAATTTCATGAAATTAAGTTATGAAATTAAATGCACATTTTATTCACCGGAAATTATTATATTTATTGAAACTAATTTTAGCTTTTGAGCTTCCTGGATTTGTGATGCTTAGGTTAACTTGCAGTTTTATTTTTTTAATTGGCATATTATGTTATGGATTAAGTATCCAAGTATTATTTATGAGGGATAGGTCTGATCGATGTAGTACAATGGGTAGAAATATTTTGCAACAATTCAAGAATTTTATAATCATATACATAATGAGTTGAAACACAATCGTGACATATACATCTTAAATGGGAATTAAGCCACAAAACGTATCCATATTATTTCTAGTTAAAAATCCTTGGGCCAAAAATTCTCCATGAACATATATAAATGTTTTTACCTCACGAAGTCACAGTTTTATAACTGCAAATCGAAAAGAAATGTTTTACCTGTCGGAGTTAGATCGATCGATCGATGAATAATGAGGCCCCAGAAAATGAAGTAGAAGAATATAAGAAAAAAGATCGTTTAGTTAGGGTTGATATATAGTTCATGGAAGAAGAAGAAAGAAGATGTTATTCCTTTAACTACGATTAATAGATAATTAAGTTGTAAAACAAATCTGAGTTATTAATTAGGTTTTTTCATTAAGGGTTTTTATGTAATTTTACTTATAAGGTTGGTACCGGACTTTTTTGATGGGGTTCATACTTATCCCATGTGGCGCAATTTTATTGGTTGATTTTCAATCGTTTAGGTTCGAGTAGTACAAACCCTCTCGGACCCTAGACAACCCTACAGAGTTTGCGTAAAAGCACGAAAATCACTCTGTATTTTGTTGAGACGAAACTTTCTGCTCCTACAATCGGATCGGTAGTAAATGTGTGGAAATAATACAAATTACTTTGAAACAGTTTCTCTGTAATTAAGGGGCGCAATCGGGATTATATGAGGATGTGTTGTTACTATATAATAGGAAAAGATATTACAAATCTTTTTTAATTTTTTTTTATTTCCAATCATAAAACATACATTACTTTTAAGTTAGAGGTATAATATTGATAATTTATTATTTTTATTATTTAATGCTGAAATGGATTTATCTCAAAACGTTCTAAAAAAAATTGGACCTATTATAATTAGACTTGTATATTGGGGGGTTTTGACAAATAATCCCTATTTAAATAGCAAAAATAGTAACCAAATTACGAGATATTCTCAAGTCTCAACCTTAAAAACAAGGATTTTATTTATTTATTTATTTATTAATATCTCTTTATATTTCTCCTATGCAGAGACGAATAAGAAAAAATATAAAACAACAGGAATAAAGTATTTTGCAGCGAGAATTACATTTATCGTCTCTAAAGTTTGCCCGATTCTACTTTTGGTCCCCCATGTTCCAATGTAGGCAAAATACACATTAAATATGCTACTTTAAGACATATCTGGTCGATTACATCAAGTGACCGTTGACATCTACATGAACTTTGACCTTTTTTTGATTTGTCGAAAAAACTCTGTGAATACTGATTTCCTAACAGATGTTTAAAGATTTAAGTGATGTTTGCAAAAGTTTATTTAAAAACATAAAGAAAGCTTTGAATGCATCGACGAAGTTCAAGCATTCCCTGAAGAATAAGTTAGATGATTACCATGTGATGTTGAGGTATATATTCTTGATTATTTTTACTTTTAACTAATTAAGGATTATTTTAAATGAAATGATGGAGAGGAAGACTTATAAAAGGGGATCACGTCTCAAAATTACATCTAGATTCTCCAAGAAACTACTAAAAACAAGGACATTTAGGAAATACTGAAAAAATATCCGTGTTTGAGGGATTTGCAAGCTGCATTAAATTATTAGCAACATTACATCACTCTGTTCATGGGGCAATTTAGCACTAGCACTTTGTCTTCGTCAAGCATTCAGGCTTGGACCTCCATTTGATCCTTTTTTTGATTTTTCGAATCTGGAGATGAATTTCTTATGAAGCTTTATTTTGTCCTATTTTTTTCTGCATCTTAGGATGTCCCCTAAGACTGGAGGAGGAAGAAGAAGCCAAAGCTGCTCTAATGAGTAGAATCCAAAGGCTAACAAAACTAATACTCGTTTCCTCCAAAAACACAATACCAGGATAGACAAGTGACATGCCCTCTCGCCAAAGGACTCTTTCTGCTTCCGGGGATGACGTAAGTTGTTTTTTCTGATTTGCTTATTTACTAGGTATCTTTAAGACATTATACACATTCTCCTTTTTCCTTCAAAAATTGGACTTTGATGTTTATTGACAAACTCCTCTTCATGATGTCCTTTCCAAATCAATATGCTTAAATTATTGACTTATGTCGTAATTATTGTGTATTCTGTGCTTCAATGCTCTCGAAGAACATCTAAAATGAAACTAGTTTGCATATTGTTCATTCAATATTTTCATGTTCTCTTGTCTAACAGAAGTTGGGTGTTCTACATGATGGAATCGACGGTGGAAATGAGAAAGATTCTCCATCTTCTGCTTTAACTATCACATCAAGTATTTATGATTTTAAACACCAAAGATCATCCAGCAAGTGGAATGATGATATATGAAAGCTTGTTAGTTTGAGTACTCATTGGCTCTTTTTGTTCTTTTATTAATCATTGTAGGATGGTGTAACAGTGTCTGTCAGACCAGATGGACCTACTTAGTGAGCAAGTTAAGATGCTTGCTGGATAGATTGCATTCAGCACCAGTAACCTACAATCTCCTTTTTAAACATTATTATATGGGCAAAAAAAAATTCGCGTTTAAATTATCAACATCTGAAGTGATGAGTAAATTGCAATAATGGAGAAATGCAAGTGTAAAATGGTGTAGGTTAGAAGTCAGCGCTTTATCTTTTTTCGATCATATGAAGTGAATAGATGTAGAATATCTGAGAATCTTAGTGTTGGAGATTCAATGTGTGTGAAGGATTGTATTTATGTTACATTGATTTATGCTGTTCGTTCATTTTGTATAGTTCTGTTATCACAGAATTTGGACGCAATCGAGGAATGATAAAAGGATGGGGAGGAAGAAAGGATGGTTATCTTTAGTAAAGAAGGCTCTCAACCCGGATTCTAAAGAAAAGAAATCCGAGATTCGTATATTTTATGCATATGCTATATGTATACCGAATCGTGGTTCAGTTGTATACACTGAAAAGACGATGATTGATTGATATTTGTCTGCTTTCAGAAAAAATCTAAAAAGAAATGGTTTGTGAAACAGAAGCTATCAGTTTCCGAATCTCCGAACCCCGAGTCCGTTCAAGCGTCTCATCCTCATCCTCATCCTCAGCCGCCATTGGAAGAGGTGAAGTTGACTGAGGTGGTAAACGAACAGCAGACGATACATGCTTATTCTCCTACAGTTGATGCAGTTGTAGCTGATGAAGAAGCTGAAGTTATTACAGAGGCTTTTGAAGAGGTAGTTCAACCAATTATTGTGACTCGATTCGCTGGAAAATCTGTGGAGGAAGTTGCGGCTATCAAGATATAGACAGCTTTCCGTGGTTACCTGGTATTCTCTACTATACAAAAATGTCCAGTTTTTTTAGTCCCCGTCATTGTACTTGAATAAGGTAGATATGAGCAATAAGAAAAAGAGATGTCTTACGAGAGTGTATCGAACTATATCAACCGGTTTTGAAGTTCTGTGCCCATATAAGAACTTTGTTCTGAAGAGGAATCTGCAGTGTGTGGCCCCATAAATGGAACTTATTGGGTGCTGAGATTTATATAATATTTGCATTTTATTCGGTTATTTATTGAATTATGATGGGGTTGTTATATATATTTGTGTTCCTAATTTTCAGGCAAAGAGGGCATTGAGAGCTCTAAGAGGGCTCGTGAGACTGAAAACACTTGTCGATGGGCCCACTATAAAACGCCAAACCGCGAACACTCTGAAATGCATGCAATCTCTATCTCGTGTGCAGTCTCAGATTCAATCTAGACGAATGTCAATGCTGGAGGAGAATCGGACGCTCCAGAGACAGCTTCTGCAGAAACGTGCTAAAGAACTCGAGAGCTTGCGAGTTAGTTTTTTTTTTTTTTCATTTAATTTTATAAAAAAATTGACTGCTATAGGAACCATAAATTAAGCAAATTAGCTCAGTCAAAGAACTCGCTGCTCGTTTAAGGGTTTTTTTTTTTGGTTGGAAACGCAACGGAGATCAAGAATCTGAGGCATAATTTTCTATAATGACATCATCATATAAACCATATCTATAATTTTTCAATTAATTCTTAATCGAGCGCTTTGTTCTAATGAGCCTTCGACAATGCAATGTTGCAGATGGGAGAGGATTGGGATTTTAGTCTACAATCGAAAGAGCAAATTGAGACGAGTTTGCTTCACAAGTATGAAGCTGTGATGAGGCGGGAAAGAGCTCTAGCTTGTTCATTCACTCACCAGGTACTTCTTATTTATTTATATCTCTTCACAATCTAATTATCTTCATCCCTTACAATATAGAAGAATACACACACACACACACACACACACAGAGAAAGAAAAAAGAAAGAAAGAGAAAGACATACACGAGGAGTTTGAAATTGTGTAGTTCGTCCTTTTCTTTGTGTGGAGTTAGATGTTTTAAATCTGTGTCACATACGAGTTAACTGAATTTCCCGAGGTTGCATTTGGATGGAAAGATTTGGAGCAAATAATTTTAAATCCAGAACAACAAATCCATTGAACTTGTTTGATGAAATTCATTTTACTATTTGTGACCGTCATGCCGGTAGCTTAATATTTGGTTCTTAGTTTTGGTCATTTGGAAGCTTTATGTTTGTTGAGTTACTGGCTGTAACCTAGAGTTCTCTTTTTTTTTTTTCAGGAATGTATCACAGGTTCTGGGAAATAAATACCAGAACTAGTTACTAGAAATAATAGATGCCACGTGAAAGGTTTGAGTGATCTAAACAATTTTTTTTTAAGTGTGATTATCAGTAAACTCCCGGACTTCTTCGGTGGAATTTGTACATTTGCAGATCAAGGGGGTTGCCTTCGCTTTGATAAAGGACCTTGGAAGAACCCAGACATACTGAAGGTCCTAGATTAACTCAATTATATATTTCATATGGTGCAATTAAATTCGACAAGTATTCCATTACATAATTTGTTTCAGTTTTAAGAAAGTTTACTGATTGGGTTGGTGCAGATGGTCCTTAATGGTGAAGCACGACGTGGCAGGCAGGTTGTTAAAATTATCAACAGTGAGGGGAAAGTAGTGTATGTCAAGCCTCATCGCCCCACGGTATGGATATTGTGTCTTTTTGTAGAATTGTCGGTGCATTTTTCTAAATCAATTTTTATGTTAAGTGAACATAATTTGTATCTGTTGGCTTTTGCAACAGCTAAGAGGAAGTAATACTTGTACGGCAGAGTCGCTGAGGATATTGCTTCACCAAAAGCCACTAGGAATTATTCACACCTCCGGCTGACTCCTGTTCGTGAGGAGGTATGGTTAACTGCATTATCAGATAGTTTTGTAGTAAAGAAAAGGACTTGGTTTAAAATTAAATTTAAATGTCTATTTTGTAAGTAAATTTATTTTATCTTTTGTAAACGATGTTTTAAGGAGTATTTGATTTATTTGTCAGGCAAAGGCTATAGGGACAGCTGCCTACAATTTTGGTAACTTTGCAGGATACGATGAGTATGTTCCCATGGTCGACAAGGCAGTTGATTCTGGATGGAAGAAGCAAACAACCCCTGAAAGGCTCAATATTTCTAAAGGTTAATTATGACTTCATTATCATTGCATTGCTTGTGGTATTTTGCTAACTGGATCTCACTATCATCACATCACCCGATCTATGCATTATCTAAATCTGTGTGTGCCGGATTTATTCTAACAATTCCAATTTGCTGTGACAAATAGATATGGTTCATGAATCTGAATAGTTTATTCATGCTCTCCTCATATCATATTTTCTTTATCGTATTTGTTTATCGGATTCGGACACAATTCCCAACAAGTCAACAACGGCAGCTGCTATTGACGCAGAACTCCTATCTTCAGTCCTGAAGAGGTTGGGCGAGCTTGAAGAGAAAGTTACCAGTCTTCAAGAAAAGCCATCTGAGATGCCCTATGAGAAAGAGGAACTGCTATATGCTGCTGTTTACCGAGTTGATGCACTAGAAGCAGAGTTAATTGCCACCAAGAAGGTACCCTTCTTCTATCTGTTACGAAATTACGTCTTCTACCGTGAAAATAGTAACAATCAAATGTTTTTGGATGTTAAGGAAAGATAATTTGTAATGGCTAAACAATAGTTGCTATAACAAGTCTCTTGTTCGTCGTACACTCTTGCACTCTGTTGATAATCTTTTTTCCGCATTGTTCTCAAATTGGCTTCTTTTTTTGAGCAGGCTCTGCACGAGGCTTTGATGAAGCAAGAGGAGCTGCTTGCTTATATAGACGGTCAAGAAGATGCTAAATACCGAGTGAGTGAAAGTTCATTTATTCTTGACCTGAAAAATTGTTAATTTTTTCGCGTAATATTTAGTACTGATACGAGGTGCCTTTTGTTTGCTTTATCCAGAAGAAGAAATTTTGCTGGTGAGATAATGTGTTCGTTCCATTTGGAGATTTCATCGTTGAATTCATCTTCTGCTGTATGACTGTATCGGATGCCTAAATTTAACCAATATGGATCTGAGTTGTAATCTGACGGCTAGTTTGATGGTATAATATACTTTAATTGAGGAATTTTATCAAACATATAAAGATACATCTTGTGGAGATTCTGTTGATCCGTGGTTTAGTTTTTTTCGCACAAGGGGTCTTTTTAGTTATGTTTGAAGATATGAATTTACACTTCACGAGTCGGAACGTGGGAAAATGTCGGGTATTCAAATCTCATTACGTGCACAATGAGCGCATTTAACAACACTTGTAACCAATAAGACTTGTGACGAAAGCAGGTTCATCAAATCCAAAATACGACTCAATATTGTCCGCATTGTAACCAATAAGACTTGTTACGAAAGCAGGTTCATCAAATCCAATATACGACTAAATTTGGCAAGGAATATAAGAAAAGACCCTAAAGTCTACGAATGATGTTCAAAATACATCAACATTGTTAAGTAATACGCCGATAGTAAGACCATTTATACCACTATTTGCAGTCCCGTAAGCCGCACCCAATGCCTACACAAACAAAAACAAATTAATTCAAGATCCAATACGTAACATACAAATAAATCAGCGCAGAACAATTGAAGATCTAAGATCAAAGATTTTGTGACAAGTATAATGTGTCGAAAAATCAAATGAACAAAAAACCGACGACGGAAAATGGAACCTAATAATCAGGATTGTGGAATTTCGTTCCGAATTCCGAATTCCACCCTTAATCACAAAGAAGCAAATTTTGCAATGAATGTAGGCAGATAACTAACTAGTCAAATTAAATATCAAATTAAACGATTAAGAAAAATGCTTACTAGCTAATTTACGGGTGTCGAAGGAACCGATCCACCACAAAAATCGCAGATTGGCACTTGATACGATATATTAAATAATATATCGTTTAATTATTAGTTTAGTTAATAATTTATTATTAATTAAGTAGATTAGTATATTTTATATATATTATTTAAGTATTAGTTTATTTAGTTTACATAGGAGCCGTAGTATTCTAGGTATAGGATAGGTATTTAATATTTTATTAGTACTTTATTAGTATAGGTAATTATGTTTCCTAGTTAGATTAGGATTCTAGGGTTTTATTCTCTTTAAATAGTCGTATTGTGCGAGGGTTTTGAGAAGGCAGAGAAATAATAAAGAATAGTTTTCTTACGTTTCGTAAAGAATTCTTATGATACACAAGAGATCGCATCAATTGGTATCAGAGCGAAGTTGCGATTAACACCAACGCTTCGTTAGCAAGGCAGCGATTATATCAAAGCTACGCTGGAGCAAAGTTGAGATCACATCAAAACTTTGTGAAATCATGATGTCAGAAACAAGACGGTTGGAGCGATTGGAAAAATCCGTAGAGAAATTACGGATTAATTTTCAGAAATTGCTCGAACAAAGTCAAGGACGACGTCAACGCCATCACAAAAGCCGAAGGGACCGCTGCCGAAGGGACCGCCGACCATCACCGCCGCTGCCGCTGCCGAGCCTATCGCTGGAGGAAGAGGAAGAGGACGACGATGAATTTTTCAAAGAGCCACCGCCGCCGCTGCCGATCCTATCGCCGGAGGGAGAGGAAGAGGACGACGATGATTTTTTCGAAGAACTCCAAATTTTTGTGAGTTCGCCGGAAGAAGAAGAATCGGATTCAACTCACATAAAGTGGGACGAAGAGCCGAAAGAAGAAGAATCGGAGTCAACTGAGGTAAAGTGGGATGAAGACGAGAAATTAACCAGGGAAGAGAACGAAGAGACACAGTGGATATTAGGAGATTTCTATGGTGTTCAAAAGAAAGGAGACGAAGAACCAATGGTCACTTTGGATGAGACAAAATCTAAAAAGACGATTGAAAAAGCTTATTTATCGGGAAAAATATTGAGAATTTTTCCAAAAGCCTTTAGGAGTTCGTTCGATCAACATAAACAATGTGTTAAAGATCTTGATCGTTTGTCATGTTTTTCGGATTCAATCGGGAAGCAATTCGACCTAGTCAAACATAGGTGGAAGCGCAAAAAAAGAGAGAGCTGCAATTATTCGAACCTTGAGGACAAGGTTCATTTCAAGAGGGGTGGTTTGATACGATATATTAAATAATATATCGTTTAATTATTAGTTTAGTTAATAATTTATTATTAATTAAGTAGATTAGTATATTTTATATATATTATTTAAGTATTAGTTTATTTAGTTTACATAGGAGCCGTAGTATTCTAGGTATAGGATAGGTATTTAATATTTTATTAGTACTTTATTAGTATAGGTAATTATGTTTCCTAGTTAGATTAGGATTCTAGGGTTTTATTCTCTTTAAATAGTCGTATTGTGCGAGGGTTTTGAGAAGGCAGAGAAATAATAAAGAATAGTTTTCTTACGTTTCGTAAAGAATTCTTATGATACACAAGAGATCGTATCAGCACTCTTCTCGACTTGGCTGATGGTCGGGCTGCAGGTCCGGGAAAAGTGTCTCGAACGAGAGCCTGGTGTCGTTGTAGAACCAAAACAGCGCCGAAG